GAGTCAATAAGCCATATATATATATAATTTATTATTTCTTATTCTTTGCCTATTTCGTGGGCTATTTAATCTGCCTTATGATCGTAATGATCGACTGTGAACATATTGGAATTTTGACTAAAATCAGATGTTATCTGGCTGGGAGCAATGTTTACGCCTTGGTAGTTGCGGCCAACAAAACAATGAAAACTAATTTTATTCAAATGCTATATCCTGAATATAATTTACCGAACAGGTACCAAAACCTAAACAAAAATCTACAGCACTGGCACCCACTATTTTGAACACCAACACATTTTCGATTTCAATCCAAAAATTTTTCACAGAGGATATATTATATACAAAACAAACATAAACGTAACTTTTTAGAAACTATTCAGCTATCGTGAGTTGCGGTCTGGTGTTATGTAGGTTTCAGAAAAACATTTTCTTTATCGTGCCAACGTTTCGATTTTTATTGAGATCGTCTTCAGGGTCTGGGATTTACAAACATTGTTTAAATGGAACAAATATGTAGGATGTGGAAAAAAGTGTATTTATACACTGCAAAAAAAAATATATTTTTTATATTCAATCAAAGTATTTCTATTCACTCAAAGTGTTTGTTTTCTGCGTAAGTGTGCCAGTCTTGCGTGTCATTTTTAGAAATTGTTTACGTCAACAGAAATAAACACAGCATCAATTACTGAACAGTCACATGTAAATTTAGCCGCATCTATGCTAATATAATAAATCAAATTCAATATCAATAATATACATAAAACCCACAAAACTTATAAAACTATCATTAAACATACATCAAACAATTCTACATCGTCTAAATCCTCGAGAATTTATTTTTCCTTTCCTTAATAATCCAGTCTATAATAATCCTGAAAGACTAACTAGGCCCGAACGACAAACCATCACCCTTTTTTCCATTTTAAGTCTCTTTCACTTCAAAGAAACCGACTCCTCATAGAAAAGTGAATTTCTATCCCTACTTCTTGCCCCACTTGTTCAAAATCAAACATTTATAAACAAAAATATATTTATACCTCACTAACCCGATAGGACACACAACAGTGACACATCTACACAGAAAGCACACACATCGAGTGAGTACAAATGATTAAACCTAAAATTTCTACTTTGTGCACATCGTTGTATAAATTCATTTTCACATCTTACAATGTATTTGCATAATGAAAACAATGTTTGTAAATCTTAGGTCCAAGATCGAAACGTTGGCACAATAAAGAAAATGTTTTTCTAAACCTACATCACACAAGACCACATCTCACGATCTCCAAATAATCATTAATTAATGGTCACTAAATACTACACAATTTTTCGTGTTTTACTTAATTGTTACAGCTTTTGTCAATATTTTTTAATTTTTTTAAAATATTAATTGATTAACAAAAGCATTGCGACATGTTAGGTTTTTCTGTTACTGAGAGCTTATACGTTACATTTTAATTAAGGAAAATAATAAAGAAAAATTAAAAATTTATTAAAAGTTAATAATATAGTAATAGTTAATAATTCAGTGTTTTCCTAAACGTAGCACATTCAACTTTATTACCAAGTAACCAGAAATGTTTTTGTGGGCTTAAAGGGTTTAATAGTTAATAATAGTTAATAATATAGTATAATAAAAAGTTAATAAAAGCTAAAAAATTGCAAATGAAATGTTTAGTTACATTATGAAATTTTGTTTCGATAATTTTGAAAATTTATTAACCTTAAAGAACAATAAAAGCCCCAAAACACGAAAATCCACTATTTAGTTCTTTGTCGTTCTCTGGAAAATAATCTAAACGTAAATAACTTTCATTATGAATACTTTCACTTTAAGATAATCTATATCTTCAATTACTTCAACGAAATCTTCTCAATGAAAGACGTTTAATCCAGAAAAATCTTAACGAAAACATGCAAAATCCACTTAACCAAATTAAATAACGTCAATAAAGTCCTCATAATAGAAGAACCTAAATGAAATACATATACCATTGCATGAACAATCATCCGGGAAAATATACGTAAATATACGCACCTTTCTTCAAAATAACCTTCTTAAGAATAAAGTTCCTGATTGCCTAGAAGAACCACGATAATCTATAAAAAACGATAACCTTATGACTAAGTTCAGTTCTGATTAACGTAAAGAACTTTCAAGAATGAAGTCTGTACAGAAGAACCCTTCAGAAATATCACGAATGAAATTCCTGTAATAAAGAAGAACCGTAACAGTTATAACTTAAGGACTATTACGAAAGTTTAATCCAGAAGCTTATCGAACTCACAGAATGAAGTCCTCCAATCCAGAAAAACCTTAAGGAACTCTAAGAATGAAGTCTTCCGATTCAGAAGGACATTATCGAACTCTTATGAATGAATTACTTTCCCCTAGAAGAACCGTAACGAACTCACTAGAATGAATTATAAAACAGAAGAATTTTAAAAAATTTCATGAATGAAGTCACTCCAATCCAGAAAAACCTTAAGGAACTCTCAGAATGAAGTCCTCCGATTCAGAAGAACATTAACGAACTCATATGAATGAAGAAGTACTTTCACATAGAAGAACCGTAATGAACTCACAAGATCTGCTCGGACATTAACTTCTCATCTCAACCGCACCTTTTGAATTTTCCCTCCTTTTTGCCATTTTTCAAAATTCAAAAGGTGCGGTTGAGATGGGAAGTTAATGTCCGAGCGGATCGAGGTCACGATCGCTCAAGTGGTACAGCAGCGGCGTATCTAGCCGAAGATCGTGGGTTCGAATCCCGCTCGTGCCATTGACTTTTTAATCTCGACTAAAAACCTTAATTAACTATATATTCATCAAGAATGGAGTTCTTAAAATTTAGGAATATTTTATGAAAATTTCTAGAAAGGATCTTCTCCTTTGTAGAAGAATCTAAATGAACTATTAAAAACAAACTTTAATCCAGACAAACCATAGTGAATTCTCATGCGTTTTAATTGAGAGCATCCTTATCGAACTCACAGAATGAAGTCCTCCAATCCAAAAAAACCTTAAGATTCGCATTTTGTTGTTATTTTGGCTATCTAACATTCTAGAAGTATAAATTAAATCTGAAAAAAGACAATAAATTGATAAGAAAACCGTCTACTTTTCCATAAAGCGAAATATTTAGTTATAGGTTATTTAAAAAAGAAAAGACGTGGCACAAGAAGAAAGGAAAGAAAAAGAAATTCCTCCCATCCAGACTCAAATGCCCGCTAATTTATTACTGTAAATGATTTAATTCCTCTCTTGAACACAAAGGATTCTACAATTCTAGAAAAACAAAAATAAGATTGATGGATCTTTAAAGAGGAGAGTTTTAAATCTTTCGAGGTAAATAGATCGGATTTTTTTTCTAAAAAGGTCTATCGTGACTCCAGCCCGTTTTAAGGTATCGGGTTTTCGGTGAACAATGACCCGATTTGAATAGATTTATGTTCAAATTAATCGCTTTTGCCGTGCCTCCCGATCAGGCTCGTTAAGCCCCGAATCTCCCAAGACCCTTTGTTACGTCTCTCTTAACGAAAATAATTGAAATTGAATTCTATCAGTACATTGAGAATTATTTATTTTAAAAAGGTTTTTTCCCCCACTTACTATTTAGTCTTCAAAACGAAGTAAGTACATTCTTGACGGTTGTTTCCTTAGAAATTTAATTTCCAAAAGAGGCTGGGACATATCGGGAAGTCTATTAGCGAGTGACAGGAGATCGGACGATAGGACAACAGCGCAAGTTGGCGCTCGAGTTTGGAAAGGAGCTGTCACTCTTGTCATGTACTAAGCGAGGACAGCTCACTTTGTCAACCTCTCTTGTCAGGAAAATATGTTATTTCATTTTTCTAACAAGTACGTTTAGCTTCTTGACAATAAACAAATTGTCAAGGCTAAATAAACAAAACTAAATGTATTACGTAACTTCTATTTTGATCAGACTATACCATTATTTTTGTTATTTAATTTAATTAATATTTATTTTAGTGCAGGAGCATATTATTGGAAATAACGACAAAATAAGCAAAATGCGTTTTTTTCAAACATTTTGCCAAAGCTTTGTCTTTTTTCCCCCCAATTTACAATCTGATTGCATCATTGTTTTCAGGGTAAAATGATGTGCCAGGATGTATAGGGTCGTATTTGTAATTTTGAACTGAGCCTTAGGTATCCTGTACAATTTTTTTCCCAAAAATGGTAAAAATTTGAAACTAGACTAAAAATTATTAAACAAGGTTTTTTTATAGCGTCATTGATTCAAGAAAAATTCAGCCGGGCCATCTATAAACGACACCCTATATAAATCGAGAGTGTTTGAGATAATCAGTAATTATTTACAAATCGTGAGTTACGGTCTGTTGTGATGTAGGTTTCAGAAAAACATTTTCTTTATCGTGCCAACGTTTCGATCTTTATTGAGATCATCTTCAGTGCCTAGGATTTACAAACAATTTTTACATTTAACAAATACATTTTCGATGTGGAAAAGTGAATTTATACAATGCAAAATATGTTTTTTATATATTCAATCAAAGTATTTCTATTTTGCATTGTATAAATTCACTTTTTTCCACATCCTATATGTATTTGTTATATTTAAACAATGTTTGTAAATCCCAGGCCCTGAAGATGTTCTCTATAAAGATCGAAATGTTGCCACGATAAAGAAAATGTTTTTCTGATACCTACATCACACCAGACCGCATCTCACGATTTCTAAATAATTATCGATTAACAGTCACTAATCACCACACATAATGAGTAATAAGTGGCAAAATGTAACCTAAACATTTTCTATATTTTTCCAGTCCTAATGTTTTTAGGCAAATAAACAACAGTTTTTCGCTAAAATACAATTTACAGAAGATTTATATTTACACTTTTTAAAATATTTCCGTTATTCAGTTGCTACAATTAGTCTTTAGGTCATATTTAGAGATTTTTATAGAAATTAATTTATCGAAATTTTTTGCTGCTGTTTATCATGTGGTTGAAACATGCGTAATCGTGTAGAATTTTTTTAGCATTATTAAATAAACATTTATCTGATAGATGGTTTGATAATCGTTACAAAGTATTAAAAGTAAAAATTCGATGTATATTTTTGATTAAAATAAAGAATTGTCATAATGGCGAGTACTACCATTTTGAAAGAGAAGGTCCGTCTAAGATTACTTCCAGAGAAAACTTGAAAATCGTCCACTGAAGGTAATTCGTTTAAGACTTTTACCACGTTGATGAATATTTGCGGTACACCTCGTTCCCCGCAGTCTTCAGAGCTTGTGAAAATGCCGAAAAGGTACTTATCGCAGACGAGCGGGCTTCCTGAATCTCCCTCGCACAAGCCGTGCTTCTTATTGGCAGATTCGACGCAGATAAAATCGTTCTTTTCCACATACGCTATCTTGAACGGGAAATAATAATTGCAGTCTTTGTACGTCATCAGCCTCACTTTGTGGACTTTCATGTACTCCGATGGTTTTTCGTATACGGGTAGATGGCTGTAATTGTCTTTCCTGTAAGTAGTCGCTCCGAAACCGATGGTGTAGCAAACAGCCCTGTTTCCTAAAAAATAATCCCATTTTTTCTTATATCTATTCTTCATTTTGCTGTAGATCTTAACCGGCCTGATAGAATCAGACAGTGTAAAAGGAGAAATAAGTATTACAAAGGCTAAATCGTTTAAACTCAAGTCGTACTCGTTTATGGAATAATTGGGGTATTCCTTTACATACTTGATCTTCCTTTCTTCGTAGCCTTCCTCTTTGTACGTCGTGTATCTACTGCCAGCTACAACAAAAATTTCTGATATGTTGACACGAATAATAGCTTTTTTATAAATTAAATGAAAACAATGGGCTGCTGTAAGCAATGTTTTTGTGGTTATAATCGTGCCCATGCAAGTCGGTTTACGATCAGAGGTCATGAAGACTGCAGCGTACTTAAATTCTCTGAACCTGGCTCTACTTCCGCCTATTATCTTGGAATCGACGGTACAGCCAACATCGCTTGTTTTGTAAAACATTAACAATATTATCAACGATAATTGTAAAATTTTCATTTTATAGAAATATAAGATTTATCAGTAAGCGATATTGAATCACATGCTGAGTTTTTGAATCTACACAATATATAATTTACAGTTTTTTAAATTTTGTGTTATAATCTATAAGTACAGCTATTTTTGTTCATTGATCAATTAGTAAATTGTTTATTAGCCCGCTTTAACGGCGTGAAAGAACAACACTACCGCTACATCCACAGGTCTTGCAGGTTTAGTATCTTGGTGCCCAGTTTCCAAACTGCACCGTTCAGACGATTGAGAAAATTGGATGTGAATTTTTTAAAATTTATATATTTTATGGACATCAGTAAAGAATGAATACTTACCAAATTTAAAGGATTTACATATATCATTAATGCAAATTGAATGTGTAATAATTGTAAAATTTTCATTTTAAAGAATTATAAGATTTATCAGTAAGCGATATTGAAACACATGCTGAGTTTTGAATCTACACAATATATAATTTACACTGTTTTAAATTTTTTTCTAAAATCTATAAGTACAGCCATTTAAGACCCACTTGTTCATTGATCAATTAGTAAATTGTTTCTAAGCCCGCTTGAACGGCGTGAAAGACCAACACTACCGCAACATCCACAGGTCTTGCAGGTTTAGTATCTGCGTGCCCAGTTTCCAAACTGCACCGTTCAGACGATGAGAAAATAGGATGTTAATTTTTTAAAATTTATATATTTTAAGGACATCAGTAATTTATAAATACTTACCAAATTTAACGGATTTACATATATCATTAATGCAAATTGAAGGTGTAACTAATTTGGAGTAAGATAGTTCCAACCATAATCACATTTTGCGTTCTAATTTTTTTTTATTCATGAAATCCATTTATTTATTGATCCATTTACAGTTGTTGCAATATCATCTGAAACAAGTATAAACTTTTTCTAACTTCGAATAAATTTAATTACTAAATGAAGAAAAAATTATAAATAATACATAAACGTTGTTTGATACATTTCATCAGTTGTTTTTTCGTGACAGACTTATAACCCATGAAATATAATTTTTTTTGTTATGAAATGGTTCAAAACATCAGCTCACCAATAAAGATAAATAATACACTTAATATTCGACCTAATGGCCGCCAGCTGTTCACAATGTGCTTGCAAAGCGATGGAAAAAGCAACGGCGTGCTTATTACAAAAAATGCCTGTTGCAACGGATTCAAACTTAATAACAGAGACATATAAACCATAATGCAAATTAAAAAATATATCAAGATGTTAACTATATAATAAATTACATTTTTGTACTTCCTGAAAAATTACAAACTTTTTTCTCTAGTAGCATAATTTTCCCTCTGACTGACAAAATTCAGCGAGGCAGACTAAGATGAACTATCAAGCTACAACTAATTTTTGCTTATAAAAATATCTGCTAAAATAACTAGTAAAGCGTAAAACCTCTAATTTTCAACGTTTCTCATAATAAAACGATTTATTTATGATCATTTTGATTACCGGAGAATTGTTATCTTGTTCCGTGTATTATTGAATTACGATAAAAAACTTGCTTCACGCTGTTTTAGTACATATGTTTTCAGGAATGAAATTAATTTTTTTTTAATCAGTTCGTAATTTGTATTGCTTTTCTAGCTTTTCCTGTTCATTCGAAAACGACTACAACTAAATAAATGCAGAGATAAATAAAAACCGGGCCGTGCTCAAAAAGAAAAATGAGACATGTGTCGGTCTTAGAGACTTTTATTTTGACGTTAGAGAGTTAGATGCGCGTATTTTAAAGTCAGCTGAATGATGGGCTATTTTTACAAACCTCGAAAAAGAGAATTGTATCCTCTCATATAAAAACAAATAAATAAATTAAAACAAATCAATAATTCAATTGTGTTCATGTTGCACACGACAATTATTTATTATCCGATAATTTGATTTAAATGTTAAAACAAAAATTGTAGACTTCTACGACTGATGCTCAAAAAGCGACCCTGTTCTTAATAGGTATTGCTGGAGGTGTCACACATCGTGAACCCAGAGTAAAATCATAAAGCGAATATCCTAATTGTTGCAGAATTTTCCGAATGGCAAAACTTTCCACGAGAGGTCTGTCAAAAAGCACATGGATCAGTTTTTCTCCATTAAATTCTAAGCCGTGCATATTCGCTTTTTTAAAAGAACAACCAAAGCATAATCCGGTAACAGTCTAATGAGGTAAAAACTGTAAAACTAGCCCAGTAGTAAATTATTTTCTTAACTGTTTGCATTCTTATTCATTTACCGAGGTGAATGATTTTTTTCAATTCCTGCAACGTAGACAAAACGAGAAATGATTTCGTAAAATAATTTTTCGGTTTCTAGGACGGATCTTCAAATACGTGAATTGTCAAACCAAATGGCTCCCTGATTACGCGCTTTACTCACTGACTTTGAGTTCAATTTGAATTAAAAACGAAAACGTCATTTAAACAATAGATTAGGCTATTATTCCTGAAAAAAGCCTATTTGTAAGTACGTCGGGCTTGAATGCAGGGTCGCTGGAGTCGAACAAGGGACCCTACTTTACCATCCTTTTTTTAAAAAGATAGTTCCTACTCACAGTAAGTTGTTTTGCAATGATCCGGATTTCGAGCCATTTAGCTCATCATCAGGTTGAAGAATTTCTACAACCACATGTCTCGACATGAATCACCATGTTCAATTTTACATTTTTTAATTTCAAATTTCTCAAACCAATCTAGTTCTCGCCCTTTGTTGAAACTATGTAACACTTTTGTATTGAAATTTGAATTGAAATTATGTTTTGTTTCTTTTAGATGGTCCTTAAATTCCGAAAATTTGCTCAATTTAGGCAAGTGTTGACGTTACTAATTTATTCACAAATATCCCTGTTGAAGAATGTACTAAAATCATAAAGCAAAACTTACCGAGAATTCTATTAACGAATTTGTGAAAAATGATATAATAGACTTCTTAAATATATGCCTGCTATCAAATTATTGTAAATTCAATAATAAATTTTGCGAAGTGAAACGTTTACCAATGGGGTCTCCATTATCCCCACTTTGTGCCGAAATATTCATGGATAATTTCGAAAAACATCTTTTCAAATCAAACAATAAATTAATTAAATCTGTTCAACTTTGGAAACGCTGGCTTCAGGCTTCGCTACACCCTTTGTGGATTTTACTTAATAAACGATATTTTGAAATGTAAAGACCTTAATAATTAATTTATTATCGCCTTAATGCAGGATTACGAAGAAAAGCCAATTCTGACGATTGATTGACTTCGAGATATCCGTATCTTTATCTTTCTGTCATTTTTTCACACCATTTTTTTTCTCTCTTAATGTACGACATCTCAAGTAGTATATATAACCAACCCTCCTTCTCATATATACGAGAAAATGAGAGAAAGAAAGAGAGAGTGAGCCATTGAATCCTGTTTTCCAAAACTGTTTGAGAAGAGAAGAAACAAAACTGATTTAACAAAAGACAAGAATATGAATTTCACGAAACAATGTTAAGAGTAAATTTTTCGGTGTGTAAAGGTCTTTTCAAGCTTCAAATAAGTAATGAACTTTCCCCACCAGGTTATTTGAATAGGATCAGATTGAAAACTGAACCAAAGAAATATAATGGCCGAATATAAATAATGTTGAAAAGGCCGATGTCGTTATGCCGGTCTAGAATCATTCATCTGCGATTACATTAAAACTTGGGTAGCTTTTAACCTAAATCATAAGCCTGCAGGCTCGTGATTTCCTGGAATTGGGGAGGGAGATGCCTGCAGAGAATCTTTAATGCTCGGCCAGTTCTCTGCTCTCCCCTTCTATTGAATGTTAATTTTTCATGCTTCTTTCGAGGCGCCTTCCAATTAATTTTTCTTTTGTTATCCTACTTGTCGGTAAACCAGGGAGAGCCCATTACTTTGGACACCTTCATC